AAGCCAGAAAAGGCAGCAGATTCTCCCCCACAGCCTCCAGAGCATGGCCCAGCCAATGCCTTTTAAACCTCTGACCTCCAGAACTGTAAAATGATTTGTGTTGTTTTAAGCCACTAAGTTTGTGGTAATTTCTTACAACAGTGATAGAGAATATAGCAAGCAGGGAGCCTATGATGCAAAATTTAAGCCTACCTCAGGGTAAGGATGTCAATCAAGTATGACATTTACTGTGATGGTTAATTTCAAGTGTCAATTTGGGCCATAGGGTGCCCAGATATTCGTTGAAATCTGGGTATTTCTGTGAGGCACTTTGGATGAAATTAATGTCTAAATCTGTAGACTAACCGAAGCCGACTGCCCTCCTCGATGTGGGTGGGCCTCTCCAGGTTAAGGCCTGTGGCACCAGCTCTGCCAGGTCAGCCTGCCGGCCTTGGGACTGCATCGCCATTGGCTCTCTACGTCTTCAGCTTGTCTTTTCTCCCTGCAGATCTGGGGGCTTGTTAGCCTCCATCATCGTGTGAGGCAATTCCTTAGAGTAAGTCTCCTATTGGTTCTTTTCTCTGGAGAAGAACACACGGGAGATCCGAGAGGCACTGCCTCACGCTCTCCCCAGCCCACCTTTTGCACACACATTCCACTGCTCCACGCAGATTCAGAGATCCTCCTCTATGATTCCTGTGGGTCTCTCTTGTGAAGGGAGGTTTCGGAGGTCGGTGGACCCCTACAGCCCCCGCTACTACATGTGATCTCAGGGCCTCACCTGGTGCTCACCTCTCCCTCCTCACCTTGCAGGTCTTTGTGGCTGACTTGATGGAGTGACCTAAACGTTCTTGACAAGGGCTGGCAATCAACATGGAAAGGTTTGTGTTTCAAGTTGTCTATTAATTTATATACTGTCTCATTGCTTTTAATCTTAAGACAATCATTTAAAAATAATTTTATATGGAACATTAGATAAGTGTACAGATTAAGAAAATCCACAATTCAAACTGCATACTCTGAGACAGCATCTCTCGCTTGCTAATGTGGTAATACCATGAATTAAGGTCTCTCTGTCATTATATGTTGTATCACCTACAGGAGCAAGAATAATCATATAAAGGAACAGAATGTCTTCTCTCTCCATTGATCAAAGACCAGGTTGTCCCCAATTCACAGGTTATGTAAGTAAACCTATTTGTTTGCAAACGGCTTTCCTTGGCAAAACAAATTAGAATCTGTGTTTTAGCCTTGTCAAACGAGGCAAAAAGATAAGTAAAAGCATAAACTCAATTCAATAAATCTTTATTGAGCTCCCACGGGATGCATGAATTTAGGACCTATAATTTACATAAGTAGAAAAGTGTTACTTTAGCCCCTTAAAAAAAAAAAAGGAAATCACAACTTCTCTATATATTTCAAGTGAATCATTTAATGTGAGTGAGGCTCAGTTTGATATTGCCATAAGTATTAACACAAGAAAATGGGAAAGTATACCTATTTCCCTGTTACCAAACAAGGGTTTGATGCCAGAATCAACTAGCCTGTTGGTCTAACAATAGCTGATCAAAAAGGCTCGAAAATCTGGAAGTAAAAAATGTATTTGGAAGCACTGTCCTTTGAGGGCACATTCCCTGAGGGCAGGAAATGCTGAAAGAATTAAATGGCTCAAAAATGATAGTGAGATCAAGAAGAATTAGTCACAGCTTTGGAAGAAACAAAACTTGAGAATAGATGACACTAAGTGTAGCTAGGTGAATCCTTCTGAAGTGTCCCTGGAGGTGTAGTAGCACTGAGCTAACCAAAGGGGCTACGAACTCATGCTCCTTTGAATAGAGTGGTTTTAAGTGGTAGATTCTCCAGTGCACCAACTGTATTTTCAAGTATAATTCTAGTATTTGTACCTAGAAATACAGAAGAAAAGCAGCAGGGAGAAAGTGTCAAGTATGTAGGATGTAAAGGATTTGGCAGCCCTAGAATTCCCAGTTTGCATCCTTTTCATCAGGAAAGTCACCGTCTGGCTCAGTCCAAGGTGGTGCTGGAGGCAGTGCTACTGATGGCTTTTGATAAGCGGGAGGCAACAGTGAAAGGATTGCGTCCTGGCTCTCTTCTTTCATCTGTCAAAGAAACTCAAAATAAGGCTGTTGGTACATAAACTTAAAACATTAGTTCTGTTAGCAAAAAATAACTTTTAAAGAAATCATTGAAAGTATTTAAGATTGTTTTTAACCAAGTCACTAAAAATACCTTTGATTCTGGTCATCTGAAAATAGGAAGAAGTGACAGCCAAATAGAATCATTTTTATCAGAATTGTTTTACCCTTAAATTATTTTTAGACAATATAGAAAAATAAAATGTCTCTAAATTAATCAAAATATCAATTGAAGATATAGTCACATATGATGATATTCCATTTGTTTTTACTCATTTTGCAGAATGGATGTATTTTAGAAAGTCTAACTGAATTACGCAAGTTTTCTTGATTTTAACTTTATTTTGTAAGAAAGCTGTTATTAAAAACCTTAACAACCAAACTGTCCCATTAAGCCAATACATGAAGTGACTTTTTAATAGTATTTAAAAACATCTAGACAACAGAAAAAAGATCAGCTTACCTGTTTGAAGAAAACATGGGACAATAAACTGCTTGCTGATGGCCTGAAACATTTAAAAGATATAAAAAAATAGAACCTCATATTAGAATGTTGATTTTTAGATGTAAAAATATAGAAATTAGGTTCAGAGCTATAAAACCCAATACTAAAAAATTAAAAGGAAAAATAATATATGTCAGAAGCCTAATTCTTAGCTTCCCTGACCAATAAGAAGTCTAGAGATATCCTTTAATTAGTTCATAACTCAACATTTACTGGGCACTTACTAATTATAAGGAGCTTATGCTAGGCATTAAGGGGCTAAAAAAAGATAAGACCCACACCTTATTTCCAAGATGTAGTTATATATGATAATAATTTATATTATTATAATAGCAGCAACTAACATTTTTGTACTGCTTGGAAATTTCTAAAATGTCTTCACATAAATGCAGTAATTAATGTCCAGAAGATTAACTGATTTTTACAAGGTGACTTGGTTAGGAAGTGAAATAGCTAAAACTGGAGCCAAGTTTTCTGATTTTGAATCCTGTATTCCTCCCTCTTGCTCACTGCTTCGACTTGGCTTTTATCATTGATGCTGTCTAGATTAAACTATGATTTTTTGACCAAAAGACTGGTTAAGGATTTGAATTTGGCAGGAAGGGACTATCACAAAGCTTCTATAAAGTGTAAAACATACGCTTTATGTTACTTAGAGGTGAACAAAATTACCTTTTCTCTGGATCTTGTTGCAAACAGAGCTGTACCAAGCTAAAGAAGGCAGGGGAGAAAGTTTTTGAGGATGGTGTTTGCAATCTGTCACTATTTACTGTGCGAGTTCCACTGGAGACAAGTACACTTTCTCCAATCCCAGAGTCTACACCTGACCGGGAATTCTTCATTCTGGATTCTGACTGAGGGAAAATGCTGATATCCAATGGGCTATAAGGAGGACCTTTCAATTTCTGTAACAGCATCTAAAAGAGAAAAATTTCTTTCAACCCTTATCAGGCAAAATATTAAAACAACAACAATAAAGATCCTAAGAGTCTACAGCAGGGATGTTTAACAGATATTACCTAGAACATAAGGGATCATATGGAAGGACAGTAGTTCTGGGATTTTAGTAGCATTTACCTGAGTCCTGTGCATGTCCTGGAAAGGTACCTGCCCACTGGCCAATTCACACGCTGTAATGCCAACACTGTAGATATCTGACTTCACGTTGTATCCATGTAAATCCTGTAGAACAACGAATGTGAAGTCCTTTAGTGTAAATAGCTTAAAAAGTTATATGCATGTGCTTTTTTGATATAGGATGGTGAACAATAATGGAAAAAACTTATAAGTGAGAAATCAAGCTATACTTAATATATGGTGCACATTTTTAAATTCCTAACATAATAATTTTGACAAGAAAGAGGGAAAAAAGTCTTGCAGTAGTGCATTCACCAATCCAAATATAAGGTCACAACTGTCCTTTAGTCAAGCTTAGAAGACACTCGAGACGCACAGACAACCCAATGCAACGGCCACACCTGACCTGTCTCAGTAGTTCTGGACTCAGCCACGGCTGCACTGATGTGCTGAACTGTGGGAAATCAAACACAGCCCTATGCCTCTGTCCGTGCTTAACCAAACTATGCAGGTGGGACAGGCCAGAGAGGGTCACTAGGCCATCACCAGAAATGAGGATATGGCTGGCTTTAAAACTCCTAGAACAAAAAGAAACAATCCTAAATACTGGGAAATTGGCCAATGAAGAAAGAATAAAAATCTGGTCAGAACAAATTCATGTATGCTCTTGGAAATTAAATGCTCTTTATAAAGTAGCAGCACACTGCTGTGAATATATGGGAAATACTCAGGGAATTAAGGAATCCTTTCAGCTATTCAAATAGCTTTAGGACAAGAAAATATGTAACTGACAACTACATACATGTTTGGAAGTGATAATATTTTATGCAAACTTGGAAAGGAATCAAACGATTAATTTGACTCTTGTAGGATGCTATTGCAAAACACCCAAGGAGAAGTCTAAAAAAGAAATTAATGAACTAATATTTAAAGCATAAGGTTATAATTTAAAGTTAAATGCAGTATTATCCAAAAAAAGCCTTTTATAGTATTAACACTATTTACAAAGATATGTCTTATATAAAAATTTCCTTTGTCAAATTATAAAAGAGCCTGTTTTTCATCCAAAACACTGGATTTGAAAACTAAGAGAGTTTCTAATAGAACTGACTACAGTAGGATGGCCAATAATCTGGTAAAATTAATTACAATACAGTCTGCGAGAAAGCCTCAGTTAACCAGAATGCTGCTAAAAAACAACAAATAATAAGAAAAAAAGCTTTAAGGAGTTTGAAACAAACAATAAAAACAACAACAACAAGCTTATTTAAAAGTAACTTAATTAAAAAGGAAAACAAAGTCCCAGTGTATCTTAAAACAGCACTGTTTTTAATATTCAGCCAATTCTGCATCTACAGTTTGGTAACTAGAGAATAGATATTTAGTATGATAATCTCAAGATACTACAAAATATTTAAGAAAACAAAGAAGGGTTGTTGCAATGTGTACATGATATAACTATGACTTAAAGATGAAAAACAGATAAAGGAGCTATTAGCTTAAGGACAAAGAGCTAACTAGGACCCCACTCCCTACAGCTCCCACCCCACATTAGATTGACAGGTGAGCTCCGTGAGCGCAGGCTCCAACAGGCACTGAGCACGGCACTCGGCACAGGGAGGGTCCGAACACTGTGGTGAATGAGCACAAAATGTACGCTTCAACAGTACCTCTCGGCCCCTGCCTCTCCTAGTTCCCTACCCCTCCTTTCTGATACTCAACTGCTCCCGCCTTCCTAAAAGCTCCCTAAAAGATTACTTCCACTAAAATTCTTTCATTTTGCAAAATACAAATAAGTAAATACCTGTGAATACAGCCATTTTGGTGCAGATAGTTCAACCCTCTCACTGCTCCAAAGAGAATGTTTCTTATTAAAGTTTCACTCATTCCTTCAGGAAAGTAAGTCCTCAAGAGCTGACTTGCTGAACCTGAAAAAAACCGCTGAAATCTTTAAATGAACATTGAAAGTGATTTTGCTTCTGGCTATCTTTTTTTTAAATGATTTTTTATTTATTTAAGAGAGAGGAGGGGGGGAGGGAGGGAAGGAGGGAGGGAAAGAGAGAGAGAGACATCGATTTGTTGCTCCACTTATTCATGCTTTGGTTGCTTCTTGTATGTGCCCTGACTGGGGATAGAACCCACAACCTTGGCATAAAGAGATGACGCTCTAACCAACTGAGCTACCTGTCCAGGGCCTATCTATGCTTTAAATCAGGGGTCCTCAAACTACGGCCCGTGGGCCACATGCAAATACAAATATTGTATTTGTTCCCGTTTTGTTTTTTTACTTCAAAATAAGATATGTGCAGTGTGCATAGGAATTTGTTCATAGTTTTTTTTTAAACTATAGTCCAGCCCTCTAACGGTCTGAGTGAACTGGCCCCGTTTAAAGTTTGAGGACCCCTGCTTTAAATGTTCTTTCCAACTATAAACACCACACACACACACACACACACACACACACACACACACACTTGTTACATTTCAGAATTAACCATTTTCCTATGCAAAGGTAATTTTCCTTCCAGAATATTTAAAAAGACTTTTTTAATGGCACTCAGGACCAGAGAAGAGAATTAACAATTTTTAGCATTACTGAAAAAAACAAAACAAAACATACTGTGTATGTATATATATTTTTAAATCCAGAGACAATTCCTAAAAGCTATCCTAAAAATCAAAGTTCTAGAATCCATTTGTTTATTCAACACACTTACTGAACACTGTTTTGTGCTAGGTACTGTATGAGCCCCAGGTAAATGATAAATACACACATAATCCTGCCCTCAGGGTGCTCCGATCCAGTGAAGGAGCAGGCACACACAGAGGTTTACAAGACGTGAACTAAGTTTACTCTGCGGAGAAACTGGGATGGGGATGATGTGCACAAGCAGAAACACTACTTCTGCCTGAATAACGCAGCTCTCCACCGAGGAAGGACGGAAACCGAAGGGGGGAGGCAGCGAGCTCAAAGGCACGGGCTTCTTGGAGAGCAGTGGTGGCTCACTCATCATCAGACCTATTCTTTTTTCTGAAGACTAAAATTCAACATAAGCCATAAATAAAAATATAACATGAAATTTGGAATTGGCCATCAGAATTATAAATTAAAAGTAGTTAATCATAAATCTAAGATCCCACTCATAATTATAGTATCCAGGCTAAGCTACGAGTTATTTTATCGAGAAAGAGTTTTCTTACCATAGGCCATAAATGGAGAAATAACCCAAAGCCAGCTGCCAACAGTGAAAACAGTCCAGTAAGTTGTAATATTGGGGTGCTGGAAAAAGTGAGATAGAATCACAGCTTTCTAGGATAAACACAAGAGAAAAGACATGTAAAAACAACCTTTTTTCCCTTATGATGAAGATAACAGCAGTTGTGCCAGCTAATTCTCAGTAGAACTTATTAGTACTAAGCACTGTTCTCAGTGTTGTATGTCTTTAAATCTTGTATCCACTACACGTTGTGATGTGATTTTATAGAAGAGGACACTTAGAAATGAGTTAGAAAACTTGTCCAAGAGCACATAATAAAAGAAGTGAGTGGGATATGAACTTAGTATGAACTCTTATTAACAACTAGAGGCACTGATGCAAGAAATTCGTGCATGGGGTTTCGAGAACAGGGTGTGTGTG